AATAGTTCCCTCATCAGCCACATGTTTCCATCCGCAGGAAGATCTCTCCACTTTAAGAGTTCCATACTGCTATTACAACGGCCCTGACAACGCTTATTCTGTTGCTGATGTAAAATACACGTCATCAGGTGTGACGGCCAATCTCACCTTCAACAAGAGCAATGTCAAAGCCTACGGGAAATCCACATTGCCCATCAGTACCCTTCGCCTGGAGGTGAAATATCACAACAACCATATGCTGCAATTTAAGGTAATGCATAATTTCTCTGAGTCTGTATTGTTCCACTGGTCAAAATAGTGTTATTTCAGGGAATAATGTTTCTAGTCAATTCTGTGTTATATGGATAATGCTTTGTCATCAAATAAGTTTCTCCTTTTAACCAAATAGCTTCTATTGCTCTTAGTCTTGAATCATCTCATGCCAGCTTCTATGGTACAGAAAACGTGAAGAAAAATCTCTTAAGGCTGGCTAAAAATTCAACCAAAAAGGTGAAATTTATTTATCGTAGATAAAAATGCACTTGAATCCATATATTTAAGTAATTAAATGAGTCATTCCTGGCCCAAAATAAAACCTTAAGGTTCGTTATTTCCCAACCCAAATATTTTGAAGGAATTTGAGAAAGAATACATATTGAAAGAAAACACTTATCTCAGCAAATTTATGCAACCATTTCAAGTAATTCAGGTTTCTTACTGTTCCTGGAAAGAAACAATTGACCAATGTCTGTGTCCGACTCAGTCTTCCACTCTGTAGATTAATTTCTATCACTCAATAGTAATACAAGAAAGTGCTTTCACTATTTTGATCCTGATTTCTTGAAAATGTAACTTGCTAATTTATGGATATTCCATGTACATTGAAATGAATTAATTTTCCATGCATAGATTTACGATTATGCAAATGAACGCTATGAGGTGCCGGTACCGCTAAATGTCCCCAAGTCCCCAGAGAGCACAGTCAAGAATCGACTTTATGATGTAACGGTTCAGAACAAACCATTCGGCATCCAGGTTCGACGCAGAAGCACAGGGACAGTGATGTAAGCCATGCTTATTTAATTTCATTTTTTCATTTCACTTTGCTAATTTAGTTTTTTAATTTAAATTTTTCATTTAAATTTTCATTTCGTTCTGTTAATTCCATTTTTTAATTTATACATTTAATTTAATTATTTTTCTTTCATTTTTCATTTTATTATTTCTTCCCCTCGCCTTTTCTTTCTTCTCTTCTCCTTTTTCCTTTTCCTTTCTTCCTGCCAAAACATTTTATTGTCCAGTCTGTTCTAAACGCCATGAGACAAGTTTTTGTGTCCTTCCCATAAAATCGCCACATCTGTCAAATACTAAACTCTGCTCCAGCAGTGGTCGCTTGACCTTTGCGTAAGTATGAGAATATTAACCCAGAGGAAGGATGGAGAAGGTGACCTGAACAAGACCCTATTTTTTGCCCACGTTGGCAAAGGTGTTTTCCTGCCACCTCATACTTTGATACTGGCTAAAAGTCCTCTGCATCATAGAATCCTAGAATCACAGACTCATTAAGGTTGGAAGAGACCTCCAAGGTCATCGAGTCGAACCGTCAACCCAACACCACCGTGCCGGCTAAACCACGTCCCTAAGCGCCTCATCTACCCGTCTTTTCAATACTTCCAGGGATGGGGACTCAAGCCCTTCCCTGGGCATCTTCCAATGCCTGACAATGCTTTCCGTGAAGAAATTTTTCCCCATGTCCAATCTAAACCTCCCCCGGCGCAGCTCGAGGCCATCATCTGCAAGTACAAAGCGTAGACGTTTCCAAACACTGGTTTTTGTGCCGTTCCCAAGTACCTGGGCGATACAACAATTGTCTACTTCCCTTACTTGACCACAGCATTGTTTAAGAAAGGGTTTTGTTTGTCTGTTTGCTTGTTGTTTTGTCTTATGCTTTTTGATTAAAAATATTCTTTTTGCCATTCTGTAAAGTAATCAAAAATTAATTGCAAGTTGAGTTCCTTTTTTGCCAACCAGAGTAAATTATTCCTTCCATAATTCAGCCTCCCATGTCTATGGCAGTCATTGGAAGAACACTGTCAGATTGTGACTCAGTTTTTAACAGAAAAAAAGCTGATTTACACCTAATATTTTAACATACTCTGCACAAAAAAAAAAACCTCTAAAAAAAATACATTAAACACTAAAAAAAAAGAATATATTAAAGTCTAAAAAAAGTCTTAATGTTGTTTAAGTTTTCTTGATAACACTAATGATTCCAACTCCTGTGAATAATGAGATTTTTAGAGGAAAAAGGGTTGGCCTTGTAAGGGTGACCACCAGCTACGGCCAGTGCTGAAACTGCTGTTGTCCTGTTCTATTCTCCTTTTCAGCTGGGATTCTCAGCTACCGACTTTCACCTTCAGTGACATGTTCATTCAGATTTCTACCCGTTTGGCATCCCAATATCTGTATGGGTTTGGTGAAACCGAACACACCATGTTTCGACGTGACATGAACTGGCACACTTGGGGAATGTTCACCAGGGACCAGCCTCCTGGAGTAAGTGGGGGGGGGGGGAATCCCCATTTTGCTTTCTTTTCTGGAATTTCTGCTTTTTTGCTTTGTATCAACCAGTGTTGATTGGTTATGGAGATAGCCAATCCCGCATGTGGGTCGGGGCAACCCCCGGTATCAATCCAGGCTGGGGGATGAAGGGATTGAGAGCAGCCCTGCCGAGAAGGACTTGGGGGTACTGGGGGATGAAAAGCTGGACATGAGCCAGCAATGTGCGCTCGCAGCCCACAAGGCCAAGCGTCTCCTGGGCTGCATCAAAAGCAGCGTGGCCAGCAGGTCGAGGGAGGGGACTCTGCCCCTCTGCTCCGCTCTGGTGAGACACCCCCCCCGCCCCCCGGAGCACTGCATCCAGCTCTGGAGCCCTCAGCATAAGAAAGACACAGACCTGTTGGAGCGGGTCCAGAGGAGGGTCACAAAAACGACCAGGGGCATGGAACACCTCTCCTATGAGGAAAGGCTGGGAGAGTTGGGGTTGTTCAGCCTAGAGAAGAGAAGGCTTCGGGGAAACCTTCTTGCAGCCTATCAGTACTTAAAGGGGGCTTCTAAAAAAGATGGCGGCAAACTTTTTAGCAGGGCCTGTTGCGACAGGACAAGGGGGAATGGCTTTAAACTAGAGGGGGGGAGATTTAGACTAGATAGAAGCAAGAAATTTTTTACGCTGAGGGTGGTGAAACACTGGCCCAGGTTGCCCAGAGAGGTGGTGGATGCCCCATCCCTGGAAACATTCCAGGTCAGGTTGGACGGGTCTAGTTGAAGATGTCCCTGCCCGCGGCAGGGGGGTTGGACTAGATGACCTTCAGAGGTCCCTTCCAACCCAAACCATCCTGTGATTCTATGATCTGTCCTCCTGAGTCAGACCTGGGCAAAGTCCTACAACTTTGGGACTGAATTAGGACTTACAGAGTCAAACGCAAAAATTCTGTGTTTCAGCATACCCATGTGTTGGTTTTTGCTTAACACAAATATTGGCAACTTGCAAGGGATTAATCATGGGATAGCGGTGCCTTATTATAGCTATAATTTGAAACATTCTGAGTAAATGAAAAATAAGAGAAAGTCACCAGCTTGTTCTGATGATAAAGGCTACCTGCAAATATTTCAAAAGAAGATAAAGTTTTCTCCTAGAGAAGTGATTGCATATTAACAATTTTTAAAGCTAGAAATAAATTTTCTTCCCTCCACACCTTGAGCACTCAGAAACAGATTGACCTCAAAATTTGAAGCTGAAAATGATTGCTCCTGGTCAACATTTCCTGTTGCATGTTCAACATGCAAGATTCTTTGTTGCACGCTTGACCATTGTGTATCTGATCATTTATTAACCTTGTTATTTATAATGGATAATTTATTGGTAGATGCAAATAACTGAATGCTTACTATGTCTTTCCAATAGAAAATACTTTATTTATTTTGCAGTACAAGATGAATTCGTATGGTTTCCAGCCATTCTACATGGGTCTTGAAGAAGACGGCAATGCCCATGGAGTTCTCTTGCTTAACAGCAATGCAATGGGTAAAAAAAAAACAACCCCACTCTATTTTCTCAACGTATTTTACTTCAATGTTCAGTTTTTGCCTTACCCAGGCATTTGTTGCCTTCTTGCACTTCCTGCATTTTCCAGATGTGACCTTCCAGCCCACGCCTGCTCTGACGTATCGCACAACCGGGGGAATTCTGGACTTTTACATGGTTTTGGGCCCAACACCAGAGCTCGTCGTTCAGGAATATACTGCAGTACGATTCTCCTATTGCGAATTCAAAGTGTTTTGGGTTTTTTTGTTTGTTGGTTTGGTTTGCTTTTTTTTTTGGGGGGGGGGGATTTTGGATTTTTGGTGGTTTTTTTTTGTTTTGGTTTTGTTTTCTTCTGTTTTCACCTATTTGCAGTAAGTATTCTTTCTTTTTCATTTTTAGCTGGTTGGGCGACCAGTCATGCCACCCTACTGGGCACTGGGATTCCAGTTATGCCGCTACGGATATGAAAATGACACCGAAATCGCCAAGTTGGTGGAAGACATGAAAGCAGCCAGGATCCCCTATGTACGTTGAAAGCCATTAAAGCTTGCAATGGCACTTGAATTTCTGGCTTTGGGGTATTGTCTAATTTAAAACAGTAAAAGAAATGCTGTGATTAATGCCATAGTTCAACTTTTCCATGCATGTTACAGGGAAACACGAGGGAAGCAAAAGCAACTTCATTTGCATTATACGTTGTCCTGTACTGGGAAAGCTACTTTTTGGCATGGGTTGTTTTTGGAAAAGTTGCAAAAGCTTTAGAACTAATGAAATAGGTATATTTAGGTATAACCTAAATTAAGCGTGGCTTTCATTTTACAGGTGGTTAACATGAAATTATTTCAGTATGGCGCAACCGATTCCCTTGTTTCTGGACAGTGTGTAGTAACATGTATTGTAGGCAATGTGTATATTGACATATATTTATACGTATGCACAAATGCAGGGGTGGGGTTTTTTTGCTTGCATGTATGAATTTCTGCCTTCACAATAAATATGGTGGTGAAAGCTGAATTTCAGACTGGATAGGTTGTGGAAGTGTGTTCATCTGATAACCTGAGCTTTAAACTGCAGCAGATTCCAATTTTACATTTAAAAATACAAGTCAGTGGTTTGCCTAATTTTGCAAATGGATGATGAATTTGCTGATGGATGATGTCATTCAGGAAATGAACAAAAAAAGCCCTTTATTTTAATTTTTTTTGTGTGAACTGCAGGATGTCCAGTATGCAGATATTGATTATATGGAACGGCAACTGGACTTCACCCTTAACCCACGCTTCACTGGATTACCAGCTCTAATTAATAAAATACAAGAAGAAGGAATGAGGTTTATCCTAATCCTGGTGAGTGTTGAATTCTGGTTCTAAACTGCAGTATGTCGTTGCAGAATACATTTAACAGCATTCC